TTGACAAAACAAATTATGAAAATAATGGGGAAAAGTTTTCTCTCTTTAACACTTAGAGACTAGAGATCAAAATATACTTAGCTGTTTAATGCAATTGTGTTCCCTTTATATTGATGGAGTAATTTAGAGGATTTACTCATTCAAAATACTTTATTTATTTGATTATATTTTGTATCAATATTTGACACACATATCCAATATGTTTTAATCTGAAGTAGATCCTAATTTAATGCATTGTTTCGTCTCATCAAATGCAGAACATTGAAAAAAAAATTAGTAGAAGTTGAAATAATTTTTTTTCTCGAAACATCAAATCATACACTGTATTAGCTATGATTGAAATCAGTACTATTTTGTTTTACAGAAATTATCTCAATTTTAAAAAAAGTCGATATGCATGTCAGATTCTATAAATAGTAACTTCTATATGCTAATATATATACTTAATCATGTGATCAAGTTTGAGCCAATCAGAGAGCTTGGAATAAATGATAACAAGAATAGATATGGGTTACCCCATATCCAAACATGTTTGATTTACAGTGTTTATAATGACGTTAATAAAAAAAACTGCACTGTTAATTAGCTGTTGTATGATTCCATAGCATTAACCCAGTCTCCTAACAAACAGTACACATAGGCCTACATGTACCTGTGTCCGCAAGACCAACATTAGCCTTGGTCTACACACGTGCAAATTCACACGCATCCAGCGAGCTCCACGTTTTGTTTTGCCGAGAAGTTAAGACAAAACTTTTCCTTTCTTAATTAGATCATATAAATACGAATTCTGATTAATAAAAATTATACAATCCCTGTTGAACTATATATAGTTTGTTCTAACATTTGCATCTGCAACAACTTGTGTTTAAAATGGCTGGGTTGGGAAAGTAACCGGGTCAAAACATGGAAAACCTTTTTTGTTTTGAAAATAACTGAAATATACTAATATATATTATTCAAGTTCTATATATAATGGTATATGCTGAACTTCAACACGAACCCGAATCCCAGTTCTCGTTTTGCCACACATACCCTACAGTTTACAAAGTGTACACACGAGCAGGCCAGGGATTGAAAATTCCGTCATTTCATAATACACACACACAGAATGATTAATTTTTTCTTTAATAACAAATTGTATGATAATTAACGGACTATAAACATGTACTTAATACAATTGTTGATATAGTATTATCAATTCATCGAAAAGATAATCGAAAATGACCTAATTATTCTCTGTTATCAAACATGTAAAAAAAAAAAAAAGGCTGAGGAGGGAGCACTTATTGATATTTTTTATTTGCATTTCGGGGGGAAAGTGACTTTCTAATGATATTTTGACGTTATTTTTGATTTCTTTAACGTATGACATACACAACTAAATACTCTTATCATGAACAATAATGTTGTATCTACTTATCATGATGGAATTATTTTGGTCGGAATTGTGTGAGCTGCCGCTGAATACAGTTATATATCTTGCAAAGATAGTATGCATTGATCGAATATATGAAAATAATATCATCAAATATCATTCATTGAAATCTGGCGAACAATACATAAGTTATAATTTTTGTTGGCAAGGACGGTACCCATTTTTGATGTCCATTATATAATTTTTTATCATTGAAATCCACCTGCTCATTTGTCTATAAAACAGGCATTGGTTGCTGTAAATGTCACATATTTCAGTGAATATTCTTTTGGATTTTAACAAGTTTTACAGCAGCTTTAATGAAGCTTTTATTTTCACTCTAGTTTAGAATTCTTTACCATTCATTTATAATGCAGTGTCTCGAATAGCCCTTGTTTCCCAGCTTCTCACGATGAAACTATGTGATGAAAAGTGGTCACATAAACTGTTATAAATTCATTAAAGATTCAATAATGAGAGAAAGTCAAGTTAAATGTCGTACAATGCTACCACAATATAGTTGAACCTTATAGACCCGTGTTTAATGCTACAATAAAGCTGAACCGTATACTAGTAAATTCTTCTATGATGCTATCATATTTGTGAACCTTATAACATTAATTCTTCTATAATGCTTCAATATAAGAGAACCTTATGATTTCTTTAATAATGCTCCAATATATAAAAATTCTGCTATAATGCTTCAACATATAAAATTCCGCTCTAATGCTACAATATATCTGAACCTTATGAATTCTTTTATAATGCTACAATATGTACACTGAACCTTATTAATTCTTAAATAAATCTACGAAATAGATGAACCTGATAGACCATTGTTAAATGCTACAATGTAAATTATAAATATAGTATACACAAATTTATTAATTCTGAAACGTAACCATATATGAACCCTATAAATTCTTAAATAATGCTATAATATGTGAACATTATAAATTCTTCCATAAAGATACAATATATGCGAACCTTCTTAATTCTTTTAAAATGCTGCAATAAAGGCGAACCATATGAAATCTTTTATAATGCTACGATTTAGGCGAATCTTAAAAATTCTTATCCAATGCAACCCTAAAGATGAACCTTATAAATTCTGGCATAATGCAGCTCTATAGATGCACCTTATAAATTCTTATATAATGGTACAATATAAATGAATCTAACAGACCCCTTTTCAATGCTACCACACTTATGAACCTAGTGAACCCTCCTTCAATGCTACCAGATTGATAAACTTAATAGACCCTTCTGTTATTGTACTACACTGTTGAACCTAATAGACCCGTCTATTAGTGTACCAGATTGATGGACCTTATAGATCCTTCTATTATTCTACCACATTGGTAAACGTAATAGACCCTTCTTCAATGCTGCCACATTGGCTGGCACATCACATTGGTGAACCTAATAGACCCATCTATTATTCTACAACATTGTTAAACCTAATAGATCTTTCTATAATGCTACCATATTAATAAACATAATAAACCCTTCTATTATTCTACCACATCGATAAACATAATAGACTCTTGTTAATTGCAACCACTATTGAAATAACGACCACTATCGAAATAATTATTTCAATAACAAACATAGTATGCCTACTATATTTGTTATTGAAATGGATTCTCAGCCACTATTGAAATAATTGTCGTTATTTCAGTAGTGGTTGTAACAAGACCCTTTTTCAATGCTACCACATTTTTGGTGAATCTAATTGACCATTCTATTATTTTACCACATTGGTAAATATAATATACCATTTCATTATTCTACCACATTGGTAAATATGATATACCATTCTATTATTCTATTACATTTGTAAACCTTATAAATAATTCAGAAATACTCTCTAGTGCGTCTAGGTGTGTGTTATAGAACATTCTATATTGCTTTCACAAAGGTGAACACTTGGAGTTAAATAATTTGACTCTATAATACTTGTATATTACTGACAGTACCTTGTAGCATTTCTTATTACATTTACACGGCAAAGTATACCATCAAAACGCTTTACAAGTTCTTTGTAAGCGCTTATTTGTATTTGTCTGTAATATTTATGCTTATTCTTGAAGAAGGAATACATGCAATTAAAACTTAATGAATCATGTTGCGAAAAGCCTATGTTTAAAGAGAGGTGGTCTAGAGGTACTTTTAAAATATTAAGTTCCTCGTATGAACACCACACCTTTAAATTTCGTGGAAATGAAACTCTTGATAATCACTTTTTTTTAGAAGAAAATGAATATACTTAAAGAAAACTCATCAAAGGGAGTAATAGTGACAGTAGGGGATTAGTCATTCATCAAGGATTATAAGATGTACTTGATGTACGGTGATATAGACACGACGTATCTATATTCATGTTAAATGGGGTTTCCGCTGTGTCGAGGAGCCATTCAGGGAAATTAAGATATAAACAAACAGAAGAAGAAAATGATATTTTTATCATGGAAAACCCTGTTATAACTATAATGAGATGTAATAAAGTTTTATCTAAAACTAATATTGTCATAACGCGAAAGAGGAGGAGATGCATTCTTTAATTATTTCTACATAATGTAAGCAGATGAACATTTAGAATTTGTTTAATATCAGAACTTAGGCTATAAGGTACAATGTTAAAATTTATAGTTTGAATAGCTCTAGTCGATAAAAACATCAAGAAATCTGAAGTTTTATAGGAAGGTGAATCATAATATGTAGGCCATCAATGATTAAGCAGGATGATAGTAATGTGACTGACTGTAATATCTTCCTCTCTAGTTATGGACATATATTCCTTCCTTTTTCAATATTCTGTTTTTTACTCTTTAAATTCTTTTCCTACTCCTTTTATGGTTAATTCATTCTGAATTCTGGTATACAAGTATTTTAAAGATAACAGAAAGGGACCAAGCTCATAAGTCTATTATTGCAATACAATTTGTTTTTAGAGCCTACGTGGACCTCTGCTAAAACTTACATATGGGTTCAGGTGCCATGTTGGATTAAGCCTCCTCATTTAACCCGTCACACACAACATATTTTGATACATAAAACAATATTCTGCATAAAAATAGGAAACATTTAACTGCAAAAATAATAAAATATATATCAAAAACCTCTGTGATTTTTGGGCACGGAAAATTTAATCAATCAAAAGCACCGAAGTCCAAACTTGATCAATATACTCATCAAATGTGACTGACATAAAGAAATTCAGCTCTATGTATACAAGCTTATTTTCCCTATTTTAAGAATAAATTCTATAGAGGATTATTTGTTTTAAATACTAGTAGTGCCTTGGCAATATTTTAAAAGTTTCGTTCCATGTTTTTTAACATTGTTTATGAGAGGCATTCTCATTAAAACACTAAAAAGATCTCTACAAAATATGTTCTCAATTTATATGCTTCTAGTTATAGAACATTCCTTTTAGCTTTAATAACTATCTGATATTAATACATGTATAACTTTCATTCGCGAACAGCAGAATGATGAACAAGCAAAATCATAAAGTTGATAGTGAACAAATATTATTGGTTTTATTTGGCCTTATTTGATTATATCATTTTAATTTTAGTGTCTCTCATATGGTTACAGCGAAACAACAGAAGGTAATTATTTAGCTTTTTAACATAGATTTCTAATTTTATGGTAAAGTCTCAAGATTGAAAAAATTAGATTTATGAAACATAAAATATTATAAAATACTTCATTTTTTGTTAAGTAATGGCAGATTTTTACCATGGAGACTCTGTAAGATACAAATATTATACACTGCTTATGCTTTGTTGATTTTGAAATGTCTTTAAGCTGAATCATCATTACAGCTACAAACTCCACGGTTTCTGAAACAACTGCCATGACAAACACAACAGTCTCTGTGTCGACCGCTGTTATAAACTCAACAGTTCTTATGACAACCGATTCCGAGACTGATGAACAAACAACAAGCGTTGCTATGACAACAGCACAAACAAATACAACGAATGTCACTTCAGAATCACCCACCACAATTAGAATAACTACCATGGAAACCACCGTGACAACGATGATGGAAACAACAACAATGTATGTTTCTACCACTCCACTTCCGCCTATCAAGTTATTTAATTGTTCCAGTGACAGTAACTGTACATTTGCAAACTCAGCGTGTAATAATTCAACCGGCGTCTGTCAATGCATAGAAAACTTTGTTCTCATCGGTGATATGTCATGCACTTCAGGTAATTTAATAATGATAAATTTATGAGAATTTTTTATAAACACATTGTACAAAAACGTAAATTTAATACATGTATATGAGGAAAATCATACGTTTAAGGTATCTAAGAATAATAATTGAAAGACAATGATCATGTATAGCCATGAAATTCGAAATGAAAGTGTAAAAAAAAAAATTGCATTGTAAACCAGTATTTATTTTCCTTACTGATTTCTTTCAAAGCTTTCTGGATGATATCCGGAAACTGATACAGAACTTTTTTTTTTCAGTTAAGGACTTTCAGGCAAGCATATTTATTGAAAACGTGACAGAAACTTCCATATTGGTAGCATGGAATACAACACATTACCCCGGTGTGGAAGTGTATTTTACCATAGATTTTAACAACACACCAATCAATAACGTAAGCAGTCCTCACTTAATAGAGAACCTGACCGATGGAGAGGTACATACCCTTCTAATCACGTCCAATGTCACGGGGAGAGACATGAGGACTGAGTCTGTAATGTCAAATGTGGAATATGTTAGAACAGGTAAAGTAACCCCGCATATATGGAAAAATAAATGTATTTTAGATTTTCTCTTAATTTTACAAACTTATTTACAGCGTTTAAAACTTTTTAAAGGTAATTATATTCAAATTCTGCGTATTTACAGTTCCAAGGCAACCAAACGTTACTGTCGATCCGCCTTATAATGCACCGAATGTAACGATTAGATGGGAACCAAGAAATCCATACTTTAGCATGTTTTACATATATTTTACGGGTCCTGGGGTTAACTTTGTTGCCTCCACAAGTGATACAAACAAAACGTTCACTGGTCTGAAGCATGGAGCAATCTACTCTTTCACAATTGTTCAAGAAACAGATGAGCCATATAGAAGAAACAGCTCTGCTTTAACCAAAGAATTTCGCACAGAGCCTTCAGGTACTTTTTTTTTCTTCAACAGTTAAAATGAACATTTAGAGATTAAATATATTTATACTTGCTTGCTTTCAGAAAACAATATTTTCCTCACTATTTATATCACAAAATTGCACAGGGACTTAATGTTGACAGATATATGTCACTCATACCCTGATAATGTAGAGCTTACATTCCAAACAGCGTACATGTAGCAAGGACCTTCGTTTTCAGTTGGGAAATATTCCTTACAAATAATATCTTTAATTTCTTTAATATTTTTATAAAACAGCTTTAGGTGTAAGGTTGTTTTGGCAAATTCTCTAAAGGAAGGATATTGTGGACATTTATTTGCTTTATGACTGCGAGAAAAATGTAAAGGACTGAGTCTTGTATTGTCAAATTATTCCATATCAAGTACAGAATAATTTCAAGATCACCATAATTTTCTATAAGCCCATGAGAAAAGCGGTTAAATTTTGGTAAAGTACGCTTTTAACCACACAGTATATTGACATTAAATGCTAAATTGCAATCTTATTCAAAGAAACTGGTACAAATTACATTGCTGTTTTTTAGATGCCTTTGCATGAGTATGGCATTGGCTTGAAAAGAATTGTTTGCTTATTAAAATGTTTTATGTTCTAAAGTTCTAGAATCAGAAATTTTTCATTATACCAGCAATTGGGATAAAAATTTAAGGACCAATGTCATGTCAAACAATACAATCTTTTTGGTAAAAAGAACATACCTGTAGTGTTCAGAAACAAACTGTTTGTGTATTTCGAAATGGCCCTGTCTTTAAATTCCTATAGGATTGTGGTAATGTTCCCTGGGTTGAACTGTGAAATCACGTTCTGTATAAAATATCTACAAAATTGTGAGATTGAGTTTAAATATTGCAAATGCTTTTTGTCAAAATTTAGTATACTTTGAATGACTTTTGTGGTACTATTTTGGTGTATTTTTTCAATTTTCATCATGATAAGTACGCTGTAAATGAATTTTAAGAACATTTTTTTAAAAAGTCGTCATTAAAACTATTATCTGTTCAAAAAGGAAAGTAACTTAGTACTACAATATAACGTCAATTATAAAAGCTTTTAGATTAATTTTTGTTTGAGCTATACTCTTGGAAGTTTAATTACTTTTAGTTCCAAATCCACCCTTATCTGTTGATGCTACAGCAGGACAACGGAATATTACAGTAAATATAAATGACACTGTAATGCCTAACGGAAATATCATCCAGTACATTTTCCAGCTGACTTACAAAGTGTACAGAGACGAGGGGAATCGTCACGGCGTGATCATTTTACCAAAGAAAGACTCAGGCATATATGTCCTGGATTCACAGAGTCATATTTTTCCAGGTGAGCAATCATAAAGTTACCCAAAAATATATCAGTTAAGAACATTTGATTATCTTATAACATTGAAGGATATGGAGATAACGAACAGTATCTAATATCAAACTCCATAAAACAATACAAAAATAGGAGCAGAGCAAACACAGACCTCCAAAACATCAGAGGTGGGGTTAGGTGCAATGGAGGAGTGAGCATTTCCTGCCGACAGGTCACACTCGCCGTGTGCTCCTTGTCAAAGGTGTGACCGAAATTCTGTAAAACCAGTTTCCCCTTTAGCCAATGCTATGAATGTTCAAAATTGTATTGAAAGTGATATGAATGTAGACATGAATGAGAAAAACGGAAAAATCCGACGTCAATTAAGTGTTTAAATAATGGACTAACATTTAGTATGAAAAACGTCAGTCAGCATTTGACTCAATGATAATTTATGAACTGTATTTGCTGACAAGGTCATTGTATCGACCACAGAACTTACGAAATGATGACTTTAAACGAGACTGCTGATATTCTTGTTTCATCAACTTGCTTGTCAATAAATTACCTCGTTTTAGAAATTGTTCATAGTAGAGCATGCTCTTGCATTACGAATCAACTGAGATATATATACTCCGTATGCAGGTGATGAAGGTATATTGCTGCATAAGTAAGGGAAGTTGACGATAGAAAAGTTAAAGTCATCAAGTTTATCATATAGCTTGGTTGTTAGATTACCATTAACGTCTTTTTTAAGTAAAATATCCAAGTATGAAACAGAATACGAAGAATGGTTAATTGGACATGGTGAAAGTATGAGGCAACCTCTGACGTTTACACTGATACGAAATAGTTGATCAAATGTGTGTAAACTCATTTATGCGAATTTTTTTTTCATACAATATAGTGAAGAAAGTAAATGCAATAAAACAACAAGCTATTTCATCGTTACAACAATATAGGAAACGTCTTGAAGTACGTACCAGATATGCATGGTGTTAGTTTGTATAACATCAAGGGAATTTTCATTTTTTTCAGGAAACAGAACGTTACTCTTCAAGCTTACAGAATTATATAATTTTCAGCTAATTTATAATGTATACCTAACTTCTTTCCTTTGTTTTCTTCTTTAGGTGCTGAGTATAATATATCTGTTTTTACCGTGAATGACCGTTTTAACAGCTCTACAAGTACTGATATTACAGGAGTGGAAACTTTTCCGGATGGTGAATAGAATTATCTAAGATTATTAAATATCAATGTTTAAGTTATATGGTCATATCTGAGCAAATATATTCTTCATGTTATGAAAACAGATTCTTCAAACATAAAAACATGATTTGAATACCAGGTCAGTGTCATAACAACTCAGAAAAGAGGGAATCTACCATGACTATGTGTTTTATGTATGCATAAAAACTAAAATTTTTTGAAGCATTTTTGCATAAAGAAAACATGATTCTTTTCTTTCAATTTACTTATCTTCGATATATTTTATTTAAAATACATATATTTTTAAATGGAATAAAACATATCCTTTCATGTCTTAATTTTTTTTAAAATTTTTTTTTCTATTGAGATTTTTAAATGTCAATCTCAATAAATCTGAAAGTTGTGCAAAATGGTAATAGTCAGGAATTTTTAAATGGAAAAATGATATATTTTTTAGTACCAGGAGAAGTTTATCGGAATGAAGTACATAATCTGACCACAACTAGCGGTTCAATTCGTTGGGGTAGACCAGTCATGCCAAACGGGGTTATGGTTGCATATAGAGCAATACTGAAAGAGGGTCCCGAAGTTACATGTCGGATTTACCAGTTTTGTATTGCTATCTGTAATTATGTGAGTACGTTTCACAACCTTATAAAAATTATCAGTCATCTACTGATTCCTTTAATGTTTCTGAAATTGCGTTTTTAAATCGCCAACATGTCAGGAAGCGCTGGTTCAGTTTGACATGATTAAATCTGGATTCATAGAATTCATTCTGTTGATTTTTTAAAATTAAATTATACGTTTTTTAAGAGCGATTTAAATGTACCATATTAACATATGAATTTTCAATCGCATGGCTTTCTTTGTTCCTTTTTACAACTACGTTTACACAAGTATTCAAGGTCGATATATTTTACTGAATTATAGAAACAAAAAGCTTTCTTTTATCTAAAAAATCACACACGTCAGCAATATTACAGTTGGTATTATCTATGGTGCGAGATTTAATCAATAATCAAATAATATATAAACAAATAATTAATATTCTATAAATTATTTTTCTCTCCGAAATTAAAAATATTCCCATTGATAATGCCAAAATGTTACTCTGGATACTAAAAGTTATTGAGAATGTTGAAGGATATTCAGGATCGATACTTTTCCAAACCAACAAAATTCACAATTGCCATTTTTCTCTTTTTATGCAGACTTTACGTGAATTTTTGCCTGGATTTTATCTTATATTTCCTGACAATTTAACGATTGATTAATGTCGGTTAATCTGAATATATTTCCCAAAAGTAGTTTTCCAGATATGTAATCTCTCTAAAAACTAGCTTTTTTTGTATTGAGATGAAAAGTTACGATTCGATGATTATATCAGAGGTGAAAACAAAAACAACAAATATACTATATTCTGCAAAAGTGTACAAAGGCATGAACATTAGTATCAAAATGTTTTTCTCTTAAATTACGTTGAGACCAGCATGCACTCGAAATTTGCATAAAAGTTTAAGTGTGTTATGATATTAGTGTCAAATGTCTCTTTCATTTTATGTAATTATTCTGAGAACAAATTCATAATCTGATAATACATAAAAAAGAAAAATAAGGCTCCTAATCAGATATATGCCTCTCATATTGGTTATAGGTTATAGGTTATTTATTTCAGACACTACTCGGTCCTCCCAATGACACCTGCCATATACAGAATGATACGAGGCTCGACGAAAACCAAAAGGAAATGTCTTTAGATATAAATAATCTGAGACTTGGAACCACGTACACAATCCAAGTGATAGGATATACCACAGTTGGACCTGGGGAAAAAGTTGAAATTTCGTTAAAAACCCTAAGTGTTGGTAAGATATATTCAACAAAGGTTGATAACGACAATATGTTACATTGAGCGGGATTCTTAATTTGACTGTTACGTAATAAATGCAAAATATTGAAAACAAGGAAGAACAGACACACACAAGCACAAGCAAACAGACAGGATTGTGTTGAAATTATCTTTGAAGTAAAACATTGCTTTGATCAGGTACAAGCTTGCCTTAAATAATATTCAGGTTTTGAGTGAAATGTAGATATCGATGTGAATGCAAAACATAGTTCTTTTTTCCTTCCATTTTCTTTGTACAAATTGATTAGATTATTTAAGGAATCACTATATAGTTTGTTGGGTATGCTAGTTAGAAATGTGGGCTAATATGCATAACGGGGGAATCCCTTATGTATTACTAGTAATTATCCCACGTTTCAGGCTGTCGTTGATGGACCTGACATACCAACAAATTAAACAGTGATTCCTTATACTGTAGAAGTACTTTTTTCCGCGTGGTATTAATTTACGCTCTGTACGCGGTCACAAATTTTCCGCGGAAATTTATCCAAGCTTACTTAAAATAAATGTAAGGCATATAGTGATAATCTAGAATATCCGAGTAATTTTCTACCCGCGGATTAAACAGAAATTGAGATTCCGCGGAATTATGACCCCGTGGAAAAAAGTACGTTTACAGTATTTTAATTTCATTGTAAAATAAAATTGTAATCTTATTTTAAGATGTTTCTAGCTTTAAATTACATATGGTCTCCGATGTCAATTTAAATAGTTCCCGCCCATTAACATCGGTCAGACACAAAGGCAGACACACGAGATATACGTACATTTAAGGCCTTCTTATCTCCTGACTTTTCGCTCTGCGAAATGTACATTCCGGTTGCATTATTACGGAAACACTCATCTAACTTTCGAAGATTTTATTACAGAGAGAAAAAAAAATAGAAATGGAAATAAAATTTATGAAAATGTATATTTCTTATAGTACCGAATGCAATAGAAGATGGCGCCATTACTGCTGGTTATTCCCCTGGTAACGGGGTATTAAATGTAACCTGGAGTCCACCTTCTTTCGCTGGAGAGGATCTGGTATATACGTTAGTCCTTAGAGATGCAATCAAATCTCTAACACTTGACACTAAATCAAATCTGAAAGGTAATATTCATTACTTGATTATTTTATACCAATTGTTATGCTTAAGATTTCGTGTTTAATTTGACTACGGAATCCTCCAATGCACATGATCCCAGAAGAATTTCCGGGGTCTTTTTTCTTATCTGTTCATGTATTTGTATTGTTTGTAATGTTTTCTTTACTTTTATTCATTAATGACCTGATTTGAACAGGTCGGTTACACTACCTTATATGGAAGGCAATTTGCAACACGTGACGATGTCTTCGTCACACCCGTCCTCCAATCAAAGTGAATGAGTCCCAAAGCATGACAGTCAACTACGAGTCTACGATTCAAAAGCGACATGTGGTTTTCGTCGGTTTACTGCATAATATTAAATTCGTCACAGGAAAAACCGTAGAGCTTCTTTACCACTTTATAAGTCCGAAATTGAAATATTTCAAAGATATCGCTTCGTGCTCACTTTTAATATTGGAGTTGCTTTAGATGATTTATAGTTGCTTCGAATACCGTACAAACGCTTTGACGTTTGCATGTACATAAAATCTTTTATGTATTCTTATGCTTATATGCAAGCTCACCGCAGCTTGTTTTTGCTAATTTTGTATAAGTCAAATAAAACACTTTCATAGAGATGAATAATGTCATTTATTAAAATGACGGTATAAATGTGAACAATTTAAGAAACAATACGGGGATCAGATTCACAAGCTTTGATTAGCAGTTACGTAAAATATGATAATGTCTGATCCCATAAAATCTTTTTGATAATATTGAGGGGTTAAGTAATAATTGTGCACCTTGTGCTGCGGTCTAAAACTACGTACACGTATACCACGTGAAAAAAACCCTCAATGCTATATCGACACAATTGCACCTACGTCTCTTTTCAACAATGGTTTTGGCCGATGTATTATAAGTACATATTAAGCTTCATAAGGCAAATTTTGTTAATGTGACATTAGAAATAAGAGATTACATTGTACTCGTATATATCATTTAATTTAAATATTTCTTTTATAATTCTCAGAAATGAATTAAAAATAAGTTTCCATAGGACAATTCAAGTTGCTCTTTATTTTCAACACAACTGAGTACTTGTAATAGCCCAAAATGCATGCGACTCGTTCATCAGTGGTTAAAGTTAACACATAGCTAATTTACATGCAAATTTATGCTGACCTCAGGAAATCTAGTGGTCTCGAGTAAAAACTACATTTGTTAAAGTCATTTATGACGAACCTTTTCTTAAATGAATGTTGTCAACTTAATTATTTTTAATATATTTAGATCCACAATATCTGGGTAATTATCAACTTCACAACTTCTACAACTACACTGTAACAATCACACCAAGGACTTCTGCGGGAGCAGCAAGCATCAGCCGACCATTTTCCTTCACAACACGTCCAAGTGGAAGTAAGCAAGGCGTGGTGTCTTAAAACACACAGTATATATATTTATAGGATGTTCTTGTTTGCTTTTTTAATTGTCGGTTGACACAGATAAATTTAAAGAAAGCATCCAATACGAAATCATAACATTTTGAAATTAAGTTTAACTTTCAAGACATACATATACAAAATCAAGGTATACACATTTTATGTCAACTTAAACATCTTGTACTACATGTAACGTTTATTTTCAGGACTTGGTAGACCGCAGAATCTGAAGATAAAGATTTTGCGTTGTGACAGTGTTCAAATTGCTTGGGAAGAAGCTAATGTAGAGGATAGAAATGGCCCTATTACAGGATATAAATTTCAAAATACTCAGGGAGTAAGTTTGAGTTGTATCATATTAAGGTAATTCCACCTTACTATGATGTCATAGGCTTTTGCAAAAACTGTTACTAGTTTAAATTCATACCTGATAGAACAATATCTTTTGGAGGTATGCTTTCCAATTTGTGTACTGATAAATATAGTTAACTAAAAGAATTTTAAAAATGCATATTTTCTTTATTTATTCAATTATTCAATCTGTAAAAAATGTTGACAAGGGCAATAACTCCTACTCAGGTCTCTTCATTCAGGCATTTGCTTTATTGTACTTCTAATATAAAATAGTTTCATTGATATTCACAATTCAAAAGTATCTTATAAGTAGGAAATATTTAGGAACATTCAGTATCAGAATTATGCATTTTAACCAATTTTTTTTGTACATATTTTTCATAATACTGTTTACAAAGAATGTGCCTTTTTTGTTAAGGTAGTCCGATCCTCAGGTTTATAAAATTAGCAGTTGAGTAATCAAAAATACTCATAAAAGTATCGATCTCTGAATCCACAAAGTTATGTAAATTTTTCCACAGTATTTCTTTAAAGTTAAAGATTAAAGTTAATCATATTATATAGGGAAAACTGTCAAATCTCCAATATTTTTGCAGAAAAAGCGAATTGGAATATCAGCAATACATTTTCTAATTGCAAATTGATCAACAAATATATTTTAGGTTAAAAATCGATAGGTATCCAGGCATTCGGAGAAACTGTCATGATTTTTATACTTATTTTTTTTTTGTCTTCTATTTCCGTCATGTATTCTATAATATATAGTGTAAAAGGCTTTTGCTATCATTGCAAGGCACCACAAATCACTTCTTATTTCATATCATGCTAATAAGCATTGGTATATAAGGCTGGATTCCAGAAAATCTTATTTCTCTAAAAGTGTATTATTTCTTTTTCCTTTTATAGGGTACAAATGTCAACTTTTATAATACCTTTTCTACGACTTCCAAAAACCTTGAATCTTATAAAGATGAATAAAATGAAAATTGTTGCATGAAAAAATTTCATTTTCAAGCTTCATTTTGATGCAATTCAAATTAAATATTAATTTTTGGAGTTATCCTTCCTGGCTGAGGATCGGATATCCTTAACATATACTTCTGCTTATTTATATCTCCCATCTTTAATGATATGATAACCTATAGATTTTTTGTAATAATTGGAAAATTTAAAGTATATTAAATGAAAATAAATGTAGTTTTTGTACTTTGAACCATTAAAATTGTGAGGGTGGAATTACCTTAATCAACAGTTATTTCTTCTTTTTTGATTATAAGTTTCCAATTTATAGCTAAATAAATTTTTTTATACTTGTTCGTATAGAAGTCTTCAAGACACATTTTTAGCTCACCTGAGCCGAAGGCTCAAGTGAGCTTTTCTGATCACATTTTGTCCGTCGTCCGTCCGTCTGTCTGTCTGTCCGTCCGTCTGTCTGTCTGTCCGTCTGTAAACTTTTCACATTTTCGACTTCTTCTCAAGAACCACTGGGCCAATTTTGACCAAACTTGGTACAAAGCATTCTTGGGTGAAGGGGAATTTAAATTGTTAAAATGAAGGGCCAAGTCCCATCACAAGGGGAGATAATCAAGACAAGACAAAAATAGGGTGGGGCCATTAAAAATCTTCTTCTCAAGAACCACTGAGCCAGAAGAGCTGAAACTTATGTGGAAACATCCTGGGGTAGTGTAGATTCTAAATTGTTCAAATCATGACCCCTGGGGGTAGGACGGGGCCACAATGGGGAATCAAAGTTTTACATAGAAATATATAGGGAAAATCTTTAAAAATCTTCTTCTCAAGAACTTCTGGGCCAGAAAAGCTGAAACCTATGTGGAAGCATCCTGGTGTAGTGTAGATTCTAAATTGTTCAAATCATGACCCCCGGGGGTAGGGCAAGGCCCCTATGTGGAATCAAAATTTTACATAGAAATATATAGGGAAAATCTTTAAAAATCTTCTTCTCAAGAACCACTGGGCCAGAAGAGCCGAAACCTGTGTGGAAGCATTCTGGGGTAGTGTAGATTCTAAATTGTTCAAATCATGACCCCCCCCCCCCCGGGGTAGGGCGGGGTCGCTATGGGGAATCAAAGTTTTACATAGAAATATATAGAAAAAATCTTTGAAAATCTTCTTCTCAAGAGCCAGAAAAGCTGAAACCTATGTGGAAACATCCTGGGGTAGTGTAGATTCTAAATTGTTCAAATCATGACCCCCGGGGGTAGGGCGGGGCCACCATGGGGAATCAAAGTTTTACAATGGGGAATCAAAGCATCCTGTGGTAGTGTACATTTCAAATTGTCTAAATTTAACAGTGGGGTAGGGTGGGGTCACAATATGTATTGCAAAGGGGAAATCTGGTAAAGAACAGAATGGTCGAAGCTTCTCAGGTGAGCGATGTGGCCCATGGGCCTCTTGTTCTTTTTATTTGACTAAATTACATGATTCACCTACGAGGGGTGATCAAAAAGTTCGCGAACTATCTCCAGATTAGAATAAAATTTGGTAGACACATATCCATACACAAGTTCTATAAATAGCATATGTAGAATAAAGTTTTGCTCCTTGTTTGTGACGTCAAAATGTGAAAATGACGTCATTATGAAGATCACTTGTGACAAAAAATGGTTGTCCCTGTCGTACTCGTTTAACGAACAACTGTAAAATCTATTGTATATCTTGGAAATTCCTTTGCAGTATCGTATAATAATTTGTACAGACTAAATTAAGACAAAATACTTCCTAGAAATTCAATCAATGATTGGATCAATTGTTTTAGTGAAGGAAGGGAGATGGTTAAAAATGATAATTGTTCTGTTCCCCAGTGAAAGCTAGTTTGAAAAGAGATGTGTCTTTGATGAAGCATTTTGTAATGAAAGACATCCAATTTACAGTTTGAAAAATAGTTGAATATCTTAACAATAATATAATTATTATATACCTAAAATATCGTTTACTTTAGATTTTAAACATATTAAATATGATTCAAAGGAGGCACCCATTCTCTATCCATCTTACATTACCGACAGAGGATTTGGGTTTCGATCGTCGCCATACTCATTTTGGGAAAGGATATTCTTATCCACCCATTTTGTTGCCGAGATTTGATCATTTCTGACAAATGAACTGGTCTTGTTATAAAAAATTAACTTGCATGAAAAGAAATATAAAACTCGGAAAAATCTTTCAGCTTTTGTGACAAATCGCTTCGAAGCAGGTCACGTGACCGACTATATCACGTGATTCGCGCATGAGCAGAACGGTGCCAGATGTGTATGAAAATTGTAGAGGACTTTTTAAAAATATAATCAACATTGAAACCAAATATTGTTTCTTTTATTGAAGTTATTCGATTAGTTCCCAAACTTTTTGATCACCCCTCGTAAAAGAAATTTCTTGTTACTAGTATAAAGGATTGGGAGAAAAATAAATCCTTTTTTTCAAAGCAAATATTTTTTAACACAGTTCAAACTCAATACGATTATTGAATAAAGTTGTCATTTGTTACATTTGTTTTTGTATAAATGTATAACCGATCACATTAGAAGCATGCAATGTACATTACTAGCAGCTGAACACGAGATCATATTTATTACAGACACAAGAATGGACATTCAAAGTGTCTAATCCTAATTTTTGGTCCATTTCCAATAGAGAATTTTCGTTTTCCTTAAGAGTTCAGGAAAAATCTCGATATTCTATAACGGTAAGTTTCTAAAGATATAATTAGTGTTTGAAATACGTATACATAGGAGATATTTTATGAGGTTAAAATATCCATAGAACCACTACGGATTGTAAAGTAAATTTGTAAAAAAAGAAGTAATTTTTTAATTCATATTTTGACCTTGTTTGTAAATCCTCTGGGCTTAAAGGCATTGTCTTCATTAGATATTTGCTGTGAGTGACAGAGTGGGTCAAAGTGGTGTTGAATATTCATCACAAGTATTCAGCACAGAGGAATGTCGTAAGTATTTCAAAATATTAATATTTTATTTTTTCTGCGCCTCGATCGATATATCCGAGGCATATATTTTTTTGTCCTGTCTGTTTGTCTGTTTATCTGTTTGTCTGTTTATCTGTTGTTGTTTTTTTTTTTTTGTCTGTCTGTTATCAACTTTAACCTTCGCCATAACTTTTGAAACATGAGAGATAGAGACTTTATATTAGGTATGCATACTCCACTAATTAAGTTCTTTCAAATGACACCAAAGTCAATGACCTTGTGACCTTGACTGTGACCTATATGCGAACAATAGCTTTTTAGCAATTTGACCATAACTTTTGAACTATGAGAAATAGAGACCTCATATTTGTTATTCATGCAACACTGATTAAGCTCTTTTAAATGACACCAGTTTCAATGACCTTGTGACCTTGACTGTGACCTATATGCAAAAAAAAGTTTTTTGGAATTTTGTTGCCACGGGGCGCATAGCGTTTCACAAACACATCTTGTCTCTATTATGCTTAGATGTCCGATTGGTTCAAACGTGATCACAATGTCAAGTATAAAAAAGCATACAGACTTGTGTTACTATTTATAGATTCTGAAAAGAAAATACACGATGTTTCTAAGAACTGGAAATAATCCTATCGATCTAAATTAACAAAAGTACGGAACTTCTCAATTTTATATTATGATCTAATATAACTTGATCTTTGGGGAGGGCTTGTGGTGGAGTAAAATCCCTTTTACAATATATGTTTATCATATATTATAATAAATCAAATGTTGTCTTTGAAATTGCATTTCCTAAATTACTCAGTAAAACGAAGCACAATTAGGATAAACAGCTTATTTTTTTAAACTTTAGTCTGTGTTACAATAAGAAAACTTGTGTTTGTTCATATTATTATCAAATATGGTGTTGTTAATTTCTTTTTAAAAAATAATATAAGAAATGTAGCCCTTTCATTCGGTCAATCCGTAAATATATTGACTTCACAGAAAAGTATATCGACCTCGCACTTCGTGCTCGGGCTATATTTATATAATGAAAGGTTGATATATTTATGTGTTTAGAAAACAATAAATCCATGTACATAAATATGCCTAACTTGAGTTTTCTAACAGCACCATAGCAGTATTGTACAAATTTTTCAAATGGTCTGATCATTAAATTAAATTCGTTTATTCGTACTTTGTTTTTAATTTTTTCATATTCAATTTTGTAAGGTTCCGTAATATATTAAATACATTAGTTTTGGTGTAAAGGGTTTGTCATTTAGTGAAAGTCTTCTAGCGCAATTATAAGCTACGCACAATTGTGCTGAGCACAACACAAAACTAGTTGCTTTGTTAACAAAAACACATTGCAACAATGATGCAAATTTTAACTTAAAAATACCTGTCAAACGAATGCGATTTTTACACAGCGCATTCGCACTTACACAACAAGCAGTCTTGGTTGTATGGGTGTGTTTGTGTTATGACGTGCTGTCTGTAGTTACGTACTAAGCATATCAGCGTTGAGAGTGTACGCGCGACGGATGTTTAACTTAGTTGAAACTTGTATAAAGATTTGTGAACAATTTGCCTTGTCGTCGTGTAAATGCATTTAACGCACCATTAGGTTTTGTAAATGGTACATAGATGGTAACAGTAAAAAAAAAAACCAAACCTCTTTATCCCCCCCCCCCCCCGAAAAAAGAAACATTTTGAGATCTGAAATGATAATTAAAAAGCTCGTTAATTTTACTATTTCAGCCGTTGGAGTTTAAAATTCTGTTGTTTTCTTTACAGCTGCTGATAACGGACCTGTTATAGCAGTGATCGTCATCGCATTTCTAATACTGCTAGGCATCTGTCTAGTGGTCATAATATACGTGTATAGGAAAAAAGTGCGTGAAATGTAAGTATTAGAATATTAAATACCATGTATGTAGAATAAAGAAATACGTGGTATGAAGCCAAAAACAGAATGCAGTATAATGATTAAGTTTTCAACATATTTTATATTGTTATACGCAAGAGCATGCTCCCTGTATGATAAATTTAAAAAAAAAAAAAACGAGGTAAAGTTGCTGAAACAAGAATATCAGCAGCCTCGTTTAAAGTCATCATTTAGTAAGTTCTATGGTCTTGTCAGCAAATACCATTTATCATTGAGTGCAATGCTGACTGACGATTTTTCCCGTTATTTCCCGTTCATGTCAAGAAGCACAAGGCGGCTATGACCAGTCGGCAGAGGAATTACTCCTCCATGGCACCTGATCCCATGCACCTCTGATCATTGTTTACTGGATTTTTTAGCTTGAATACTGTTCGTTTTCTCCATATATTTCACCTGAAAAATTATGCCCTATATTGCTGATTCCTAAAACCAAACTGTTTTCCTTCAACCCAATAGCCTCAGGGTCCGACAAAAAGCATGCTGCTCTCGAGCGCAGTCAGTAAATACACAATTATACGTCATAATCTTGAGGTACTGACGTTATTTTTCTATACGTATATCAAATTATGTCTCAAATGTGAAAGTTACTCTTATTTATATATTTCTTTTCTTATTTCTTTTTTTTTAATACACATTGGTTTTACGTAAAACAAAATAAAATGAAGAGATCTTTAATTGGATATATCCTAATTCAGTTTCTCGACAACCCTTTTTGAGTTTTAACAGCCTCGAAATGAATTTTATAAGCTCCATCTTTTTCCTGTTTCCTCTATGAATTGTAAATCATGGTGGTTATTCAGATATGCCAGAACGATGAGTGTGTGGATTAACAATGGTTTCTTTAACAAGATGGTATATTGTTTTCGGGTATGTCAGCAAAGCATCGCACAATTCGTAGAGTTTGTCATTTTTTACAATGTTATACTTTACTGATCTAAGTTCCACATACTTTATTTATTCAAGTGTTTTGTTGATGTTGAGATTAAATTATATTTCCCATACCGCGTATCATATGGAGTAGTAGAGTAATATATAAAAGGTTATGTGCATGGCAATGAATGGATATTCGAGGAAGTATTTATATTAATTAATTCGTCATTCTAATGCTTTCTAATTTCAGAGAGGAAGTTTATGTTCATCCCAATAGAGGACGGCCAATTTCTATAACTAATGAGCCTATTGTGGACGAGGATATACCCTTAGACAGGTATATTTACATATAACATTTTAATTCCATTTCAGTATAAGAATTTCCTGGCTTGATGACTGTGTAAATTCAACCTTTGATGAAATTGAATCCAAACTTTTATCAACGCATATGAATATATTCTAAGGAGTTATTTAGGTTTTTAAGAGGTTTTTGATTTTTAATCCATCATGATACAATACTTTTATTTGCATAACAATATACTATGTTATGTTTTAGGCCTTTTATTTTGAATGATGTACAAAAGATTTTTGAAGAAAAATCAGCAGACTCAAACAGGCTTTTCCTGATGGAATATGATGTAAGCTGTTGTAATACTACATATATAGATATTCTGCAAAACTATCTAATTAAAGTCACAGATCAAAAATCAATTTGATAGAAGTAATAAAGGTTAAAACTTTAGGCCTTCCACTTTGTCAAACTCACGGAGTAAAAATTTATTTGTTTTGTATAAACAAATTTAGACAGCAAATGTATATTTATCAGAAAAATTTGACTGTGCATTTTTATGTATGTTTCTAGGACATCAAAAAGCTTAGTCAGATTGAGGGGAAAAAACGAACAACAAATCACGCCAATTTAGACGGAAACAAGGCTAAGAATAGATACGTGAACATCCTAGCCTGTAAGTTTATAAAATTATAGCTAAGTATTGCATCAAAGGTTGAAAATAAACATGTATCCCAAGTTTAGGAAACATATGGAGATAACGAACAGTATTCAAGATCAAAAGTTAAAAACAATATATATTAGGAGCAAAACAGACACGGACCTCCAAATCATCAGAGGTGGAATCAGGTGCCATGGAGGAGTGAGCATCCCCTGTCGACCGGTCACACATGCCTTGTACTCCTTGTCATTTTATTTTATGGGGTTCATCTAAAACTTAAATAGTCCATGGGGACAAATCTCATGAAATGATATTAAAAAAAAATTATTATAATAACATGAGTAAGGATGTCTAAATTTTATATTTATTGCAGATGATCACAGCCGTGTGAAACTTCATCTGATTGACGATGACCCCTGCAGTGATTACGTCAATGCAAATTTCATCGTGGTTCGTCTTTATTTATTTCCTCAAGCTAGCACCATTTATGCCTTTATAAAATATCCATAAAAGCAAGTCAGAATTTGAAAATATAAATCAAATTAAAAATCATGTACTTGTAATTAATATACCTTTGAAGTCTCTGCAAAAAATATAATGTCTCATTATATATTTTTGCATCTTTTCATGGCTATCAGTTTCTTAACATACTGTTTTGATGGATGTTTTTGAATGGACAAACTCTTCTGAAAAATATTTTAACGTTTTTGTTTTTTACAAACAAGAAACGCGATGGTCACTCACCTTTCATAAAATATACATGTTATGTATAATGTATATCACTATAAAAATGTGTCTTTCTCTTTTTCAAGTTAATGCTGTATTTTTAGGGGTATACCTACGAGAGAGAGTATATCGCCAGTCAGGGCCCACTTCCTGGGACGGTCAATGATTTCTGGAGAATGGCCTGGGAACAAAGTGCTACAATTATCGTCATGCTCACTAAGTGCAAGGAAGGCAATACAGTATGTCTACCTTAATTTTTAATAGATATTACGTGTCATCTTATATTTCATTTTCTTTACAAAAAGTGCATAAATGCATTTCCAGAGCTGTCCAACCCTTACGATTTTGGCGTAAGGCGTACGAAATCAGCGTCTAAAATACGCCTTACGATTTCTCTTTATATTCTTCCGATTTCAGGTTTTTCTTGTTCAAAGTTTATAATACCGGTATTTTCATAGCTGGCAGTCTATAATTTCTAGTATTATAAAATATTCATAATTCTTACAATGCTTGCTTGTATCATCGTTTCGGTTTTAGAAGGCCGATCAGATTCATGTCAATGTTTTAGAGTAAACATTAACAAGATGGAAACATGCCTCATATTGCATGTCCATTTACAGAAAAATCTTCAGCAGCAGGGGCCTAGGTGGTTTCTAGACCCCGTCTTACTATTTATTATTTCAAAATGTTGGCAGCTCTGCATTTCCACATTAAATTTTATATTTTGCATAGAAATAAGTACCAGTTTCAATCAATTGAGTCAAAGTTATGCTGTCCAATCAATCTTAAAAAATAAGATTACTTATGCACATCATTAGCACTTTACAAAACACTGATTGTCTATCAAACTGAATCTATAATGATTAATGTTTTTTCGATTCATTTCACAAAAAGCAATCTGATTTTCAAGTGCTTTACACTTGTTATTATAAGTAATGCATTAATACATTTTTCAATGATCCTGAAATATGTTTTAGAATGCCTTTCTAGAGGTTTGTAGAGCTAACTGATTGACGGCTTCTTACTAAATGTCAAAAGCTTTAAAAATTTGGTTTTGATTTGATAGTTTATGTCTTGAAATAGCTGTCCCTCTACTTTTAAAAATGGAATATAATTTTTCACTGATACTGTAAACCAACTTTAATACGAGAAATATCTGCGAGTTTCGCGACCAACGTTGAATTGCAAATATTACTCAGTAATCGCCGCAAGCCATTTCTTTTTTCTTTTGCTTTGTATTTGTAAAGAATTCTTCCTCAATCGCGAAAAATTTATCGTCGCGGATTGATTTTAAATCGATATTTCTCGAATAAAAAATGATGCGAATAAAAGTTGGTTTACAGTAAAAGGGGCAATTACTGTAAATGTATTATATTTTGCGTGTACAATACTTTGAACAACATATTGTAGATTTGATTTAGCGCATTTCTTTATGTTCTTCTTTATGTTTACAGCATATGTGAAAAATATTTAGCGTTGTATACTTAAATTAATCGTGATTTCTTTCCGCGAAAGGCGCTAAAAATAATACACAGATAAATGTAATACATTCGATTTTTTCAAGAAGACTTACTTTGAGCGGAATTGTAAAATTGCGCACATACTCAGTTTTCTTGTAAAAATATTGTTGTGTTTTTATTTGTTTAAATTTATGCTTTCCCCTTTTTTGTTCATCTTAACTAATGCTTGATAAATTGGTTATTTGATTATGTTGATGAGTATAAAACTTGTTATTTTGATTTATTAAAGTGGTTTATTTAAAACTTTAGCGTCTCATACTTTATTGAATAAAACTTCAATTAAAAATATACTAAAACGTTTATAATTCATTTGTTTGGTTGTGATAATCATGTACAGATTAATGAGTAAACAAGCAAATTGTTTTTCAATATCAGATATCTACTTCATCAGATAAACAAAACTCTGAATGTAAACATTAGTTCTCTTATAGTCAAGCGGCATAGCTGAAAATTTTCAAATAATTGTGCATTTTGTGATAAAAGTGTGAGATTAAGTGTATCGGTAGAGTAATATGTTACAAACATTTTTGGATATTGGGCCACTTCATTGGTCAAACATAAACAATTTTGGCAGCCATTTTTCAAAATGGTTATCATAAGCCACAATTATAAGCATACTTTTGTAAAACTATAGTAGCTACTGGATTAAAAAGTTTATAAATACCTCTGTATATGTGCTCATAATTTTAAAACTCACCCGTGCTTAGGACTCAAGCAAGATAATTTGTACATTAACTTTCTTTGAGCTTGTCATCGTTAAATTTTCATTTTTTTTTAATATTATGTCAAATTTAAGGTCCAAGCAAACTGAAGAATTGGATTGTGTCATCCTTGATTGAAGATTGTTTTACTCCAGTGACACTTTCTCTGTTTAAGGGGAGGTTACTGATCAACAAAAACTTCTTTAAAACCATTGATTAATTTAAGCTTGTTAAAATCATGGTACCTGGTGGCAGAGAGGGCTACAATGTGGTATGAATATCTACAGGAAAACTTAAAACTTCTTTTAAAGAACACAAAGCTTTGGTTTATCCAACAGATGTACTTTTCTCACGCATATTCTTTGTTATTCAAAATAAGTTCACGAGCATATCGTCTCTACCTTGTGGATTTCAAGTTTTCATATACTCCCATGTAAACGTTGATCCTTTCTTGTGGCTCAAACTCGAGACCTAGGGATGATAGCATATCTTTGAATAAACCAAATCTCTGTGTTCTTCAGAAGAAGTTTTAAGTATTCATTCCACTTTGTAGCCCCCTCTACCACCAGGTACCATTTTCACACTGAATTGTCGACGGATATTTGCGTTTACCCATCAAGACAAGGAGCACACAGCTATGTTACCGATCGACAGGGGATGCTTACTTATTTGATCCAAACTCTAATTTTTTTAGAGTGTCGTGTTTGCTGACTCTCTAAATTTGTGTTTGCTGACTGATCCAAATTTGTAACATTCCATTGAATATTTGAGATTAATTACTGTATGCATTGACCTTCAAAAAGTCTACAGCTTTGATCACTTTCAGCTCTTACAGAGCTTGCAATCTGTTGTCCACCTTTACATGTAAGCGAAACGTCAGAACACCCCAAAGTAAGCAATGAAGAAATGTATACCAAGAGAGTGTTCTCTGTATTTCTCATCGATCTGAAACAAACTCTTAAGAATGCACATATCAAGGATGACCATGAAGCTCATCAGCTCTTCTCTGAAGGAAAGTAGGTGGACCAGAGATTAATACGGATGTTTCAAGATGGCCCAACAGAAAAAATGTCTTCAATATCAAATTCCAAGTATACCTAATTTGTTTATTACAGGTGTTTGATCTCCTTTTTGATCAACGACTAGCAATCCCAGTGAAACATAGAGCTGCACTGTACATGCATTACCTCTTAGTTCTGACTTTTATTGAGCTTGCAGACCATTCTGCGGAAAGTCTGAAGAGAATTGGAAAGATAAATTTGAAATATTTGGTCAAAGAAAGTCTTCGTTCGGTTTGGACTTATTTCTATTCATCTTAAACACCCCTAAAACATTAAAGCCATTGAATAACCGGATGGAAGGGTTTGACATCACTGTGATGTGAGAAGAATCTCCTCTCCAGATTGTCTTACAAATGAAACAAGGAAACCTCGAAGATTTCTTTTAACATAAGTATCAAGCTCGTCTCCATTCTTTGGGGTTTCATTCTTTGGAGGATTTATTCTAGGATTTTCTTCTATGCACGTAGGGTTTTCAATGAGGATATGTAGCCCGAGACTCAAACGACATATACTAATTACTGTAGATCGCTAAATTTTGGCAACACCTTGTTTTCGCGAAATAGTCATTGACTCTTGATAAGCAAAACAAAAATTTCACGAATTGTGGTTCATTGCTTAATGAAATCATACGCGAGAAATAAAATTTTGCGAGGAAAGTGTTTGGCATAATTACGTGTAAATAAAGTTCTTGCGAATAAAAAGTGATTTTACAGTACTTTAAATGGTTTATATCATTGTATGAATAGTCAGCAGATGATCCTTTGATCAATAGTTTAGCAATATTAAGTTTAAAAATGCATTCATGTACATGTATATAGCAAGAGCCAATTGAAGCAGGCTGCTGAGACTTTTTTACTAATAGACGACAATAAAATGGACGCTTTTGTGATTTTAGGAAGGCATTAAACTCGCATGAACTGGGTTTACTGCCTTGCTTAAAGTCAGCAGCTTTTTCATACAGAATTTATAATATCAAAACATTGTAGATATTGTAAATGTGACTATATGGGAAGTATATCAAGAATATAGATAAGACTGTTACATTAAATTCAAATGATATCGATAACTAGATAAACTGTTTATAAGCTCTTTGTATCATTAAATTATATCTAAAAGGGATCATATATAAGGTAGTCTGATCCTCAGGTTTATAAAATAAGCAGTTAAGTAATCAAAAATACTCATAAAAGTATCTTAGAATCCACAGAGTTATGTAAATTTATCCACAGTATTTCTTCTAAGTTAAAGATTAAAGTTAATCATATTATATAGGGAAAATCGTCAAATCTCCAATATTTTTGCAGAAAAAACGAATAGGAATATCAGCTGTGCATTTTCTAATTGCAAATTGATCAACAAATATATTTTAGGTTAAAAAACGATAGGTATCCAGGTATTCAGAGAAATTGTCATGATTTTTATACTTATTTGGTATTTTTTTGTCTTCTGTTTCCGTCATGTATTGTATAATACATAGTGTAAAGGGCTTTTGCTATCATTGCAAGACACCACAAATCACTTCTCATTTTATATCATGCTAATAATCATTGGTATCTAAGGCTGGATTCAAGAAAATCTTATTTCTCTAAAATTTTGTAAAATGGCTGTCATGGCCGTCAGGGCGTGATTCTGCGATGGCCCAATATCCAGATTTATTTACATTGTGAATGTCTATATTTGTGCCAAAAATGGTGCTTTTATCCCAAAATGCACAATAGGTCCCCTATGCCGCCGTACTATAGGTTGAAATTAAAGAAGAAAATGGTAACGTTTTGTTGACAATAATCATACCGGCCAAATAGATAGTTTTCCTGGGACACAATTTTTGCAAAAGAGTTATATTCTAATTGCCGCCATATTGAAGTAAACAACAGCCATATTCCTTCACTATTTTACCATTGGCAAGTTAAACTTGTTTTTGATTCTGGGCGCTGAGGTGTTTTAAAAAATTTTCTGATGAATGTAAGTTTTTTTTAAACTATTGATCATTTATAATAATACAGACTTGCGTTCATGACAATAATTTAAAATGGTATCATATATTATGGGACATCCTGTATGTTAAAGGTTTTACCCATACTTTCACCTGTATATAGCATAAGGTCTTCCAAATTTGATGCTCAAGAGCATGCTCCGAGTACGATTGTTTTTTAAATGGACATTGGCTACTGTAAAAAACATGGATTTAACAGGTCTTTCAACAAACCTGTTTAATGTCAATATTTTTAATTTTTTGTGTCCTTATAATGTACATGTTAGTAGCTACAAGCTATCAATGGATTTTTTTTTTTGGCTGACATATTTCATTCCAATAGTCAGAACTTTGTTTTTATGCTTACTAATATTTTTATATTTTTATTTGGTTTGTTTAGACAATAACCAATGTTCGTTGTCTGTGATTTTTTTTTCTTTGAACGTATGCAAGTCAGTATTTAAGATGAAAGAGATATTGCACATTATTCTTAATCTGTAAAAAAAAAAGTTTTGAAAAACTCTTCTACGTAATAATTTGAGGGTAATCATTCTCAGTTCTTTTTCAATTCTAAAATTTAAAGAAATGAAAATTGCATTGTACCAATAATCAAGAATGCTATGTATCATAAATCAAGGGAAAAAATTAATTTAAGAAAGCATAATTGTACCCTTAATTGAGCAATAAATTTGACATTCCAAAATTTCGTTATAAGTTGTTTTTATTGATTAAAAATATTTCCTTTCAGGACAAATGCGAGCACTACTGGCCAGATACAACCAACGAACCTAAACAATATGGAGATATCGTAGTTAACCTCATATCCGTGTCTAATATGGACAAATTTGACATTAACATATTTCAAGTATCGCAGGTAATTCGTTTGCATGAGTAGACACTATTACTTAATTGAAATATTTATACAGTGTGTGAATTTTAAACACCCAGTATACACAAACGAGTATTTTTTAATGGAAAACTCACTTGATTAAAATATTTTGATTTTTTTCCGCAAAAAATACTATGAAGTATTAATAACTTTATACTGATACCTCGTTGTAAGGTTTTCAGTTATATAAATGAGGTTTGAATAGATCATTTGCCTTTTGTAGATTTGATGAACCGAATTTTATATCCTTAAGAATCGTATTGTAGATTTGTTGAAACCTTTTGCAGGGTGATTACACTCGTACCATAAAGCATTTCCATTTCCTGGAGTGGCCCGATTTTTCTGCCGCCGTAGATTCAACCGTAGTAATTGATTTTATACAAACCGTAAGAACCCACATTACGCCAGAGGTCAAAGGTCCCATTTTGATCCACTGCAGGTAAATAAAGAAAAATTATACAAAATGAATGTATAAGTAGAAACATAAAACTGAAAGCTAAATATAACTTATAAATGCCATGCACATGCTCTAGAATCAAATAATTTTGACGCTAATATGAATCAATGGTTCATCTTTAACTTGTTGTCTTCCTTTCTCCTTTTTTATTATATACCTAATGCGTATCACCCAATTTTACTGTTGAATATACGCTATCACGTGACGTCGTGATCCGATTTTCCGGATCACCAACACGTTGTTTTCTGAATCCATATCACCACTCTATGAAACTGATGACGTAGTACCCAGAAATATGACGTTATTTTTCTTGCGCGCTAAAAAGTCCCTTGTTATTATGTTTTGTTTAATGGATTAATATTATCCAGTTTATCTCTAAAGGTTTATTTTAATATACTTAGCCAGTAATAAGAGGGTATATAATAAATTTATCATTATAACAGTAACTTGATCCGAAGAGCCGTATCACGTCTCGTTGACAGGCGCGGATCATCAGATCAAACTCGACGCTTCGCGTCTCGTTAGATCTGATGATCCTAGCCTGTCAACTCGACGTGATACGACCCTTCGGATCAAGTTACTGTTACAATAATATATATTTATTATATACCTAATGTGTATTACCCAATTTTACTGTTGAATTTACGCTATCACGTGACGTCGTGATCCGATTTTCCGGATCACCAACATGTTTTCTGAATCCATATCACCACTCTCTGAAACTGATGACGTAGTTCGCAGAAATATGACGTTATTTTTCTTGCGCGTTAAAAAGTCCCTTGTTATTATGCTTTGTTTAATGGATTGATATTATCTAATTTATCTTTAAAGGTTTATTTTAATATATTTAGCCAGCTATAAGAGGGTATATAATAAATTTATCATTATATCAGTAACTTGATCCGAAAAGCCGTATCATGTCTAGTTGACAGGCGCGGATCATCACATCAAACTCGACGCTTCGCGTCTCGTTTGATCTGAAAACCCGCGCCTGTCAACTCGACGTGATACGACCCTTCGGATCAAGTTACTGTTATAATAATGTATATATATATCATCGCAGTCTTTTTGATGCCTGACCCTAACTCCTTGCATTTTAATTTGTTTGTTTTTCCTCTCTTTTAGTGCTGGTGTGGGGCGCACTGGGACCTATATAAGTATAGACTATTTATTACAGTACGTACGAGATCACGATCTTAGTCAGTCTGTCGATATTTTTGCCTGGGTTGTGCAGATGCGCAAAAACAGAGTATCCATGGTGCAAGTAGATGTAAGTTTTTTAAAATAATTGTTTTGTTTTTATTTTCGCTTTTTGCGCTTTTAAATTTTGACTAATTGAGTTTAATGGTTTAGCGAGAAAAATTCAAAATTCACAATAATTTTCAATTAGGCAAAACATACTTTAAGGGCTGTTTCGTTAAACAAATATGCGTATTAAGTTTATTCTGTCTTATATTGTATACTTTGGAAGTTAAACTCATTGTTTTATTATAGAAACAATACATATTTATACACCGAGCTTTAGTGGAGCTAGTAGAACGAAAAAGAAATGGTCTTCTACAGAGTAATGATGAATCTATTCTCACCAATGAAGTTGTATACGAGAACACTGCATTCCGTAAGTATACAAATTTTATTTTTATATGACTGTAGTAGATAAACCTTATCCCTTCTAGTCCCTTGTGAAGGTATGCCAAACAGATCAGATAAATCGAGACAATAAACAGCACTCAAGCTCAAGAGTCTATTGAACAAATTCTAGAGAAGAGCAAAAACGGACCTCTTAAAATATCATAAGAGGGATTAGGTGCCAAAGAGGAGTAAGCATTCTCTGACGACCACTCAAATCCACCGCGTGGTCCTTGTTAAAAAAAGAAATTTAATGCTCGGAAAGCACGTGGGTCCCATTAGTATTATTTATATTGTAAATTGTATAAACAAGGTGATACAAGGATCTCTCCTTTTTGGGTTCAGAACAAGCAGGGTTAAGCAAACCTAATAAAGATTACTTCACACGAAAGGTCTTTAAAATAATTGTTTATATAATTACATGAAATGAAAACCAAATACTAAAAGTCGTTCATGTCAATAAAAACTTGAAAAGCAACTTACTTCTGATCACATTGTGCATGTTAAATGTTGTTGGCATTGACGTTATATAATTTACATTTAAGTGTGTCATATTTGAGATACAAGCGTGCAATCAAATTACACGTGTATCAAGTATCAAATAGATTCATGAAATTATCATTCCATACCTATATTCTGGAGTACTAATTCGCCTTGGTTTTCACAGACCTTTTTAATACATAGGAAGCAGAATTATTCAAAACCCTTGCATAAAAAGAAAACGTCCGTAGACGTGGGCTTGGCTCGACTCGATATTCAGATATATCAGAGGTGCTTAATAAATTAATAATATCTTTTTATTCCTACATGGATTCGATATATCTCTTTGAAGTCGAAATAAGAGACACCAGAGAGTCTACTTTATCTTTTTAATATTTAAATAGATTAAAGACAACCTATTAACAAAACTCTCTGATAAACTCGATAACTTCACATTTTCTATTGTCAATTTCATTTACATTTGTAATATTTTAACATTTTACATTATTACCTACTAGTATATTTGAAGCTTTTGTATACAAGTTGATTCGATTTGGAAGGGCATACTTAATGTAACAAATTCTGAAACGAAACAAGCAATTTACAAACAAACACATGGCATGACGATATTCAATTTTCTCGTTCAATTTTAATCATTTTGCAAATTCTATAGCCAATTGAATTATTCTGTCAGCAAATTCAAATTTTTAAACTTTGATTCTGACTAACTTGTTTTTCATACTAATTGTTCGACCATCATTCACACACTGAAATGTCTACTGATTTTTCCGGTTTTCCGATCAAGAAAAGGAGTGTAAACTGTCGACGGTGTTGCTTACTCCTCCATGGCACCTGCATGATGCCACCTCTGTTGTTATAGAGGTCTGTGTTCGCTCTCCCCTAGATAGATATTGCTTCAATAGAGTTTTGAGCTTTATTACTTTTCGTTATATGCAAATTTTAGGTATGTTATATACTAGAGGATGACAAAAACATTGCTAGTCATTCATAACTATAATGATTTTTAGTGATAGTCTATGCAGTGACTAGTCTATGATAATTGAATTGAGAGTATTTGATTTTAAGTTCAACACTATAAATCAGGTGAATACATCTTATTTCCTTATCACTCGTAACATATGTATTGCAGAAAGCTTAAAATAGTTACGTGTAGCACCTATATGTATATAAATATCTAAGTAGAAAAATTATACAGGCATGGTTGTCTTCAGAAAATATAGATTGCAAAGTTCCAATATCTTTTATATGCCAAATCAGCCAATATACGAAGATTGTCCATGAAGTTCGTGGATAATGCCTTTCCGAGGAAATTGATATAATGAATTGTCTTTCCAGAGTTTAATAATGAGGACCATTTTTTAAATTAAATTTGTGCAACTTTATCCTACAAATATTGATTTCTATTTCCTATTGCCAATGCTTTTTATTAATTACTTGTAAAAATTTACATAATTTACCTTAAACATTTATGGTCACTTCTTTTAAACTGTAAAAATTGTGATATTTCTAAATCCTAACATATATACAATGTATGTCTTTTAATTGTTACAGAAATATCAGATGCATAATATTTTTAATCAATAAATAAGCATTGTTTTTAATAAAATATTTTGAAGAACGATAAAGGAATTAAAAAGCAACGCTTCATGATATTTTCTAAAGTGAATTAGATAGATATGATAGTTAATATCATTTTCATAGATACATGTACATCATTGATAATTTTCTTTAATTTTATTGTAAGAAAAATATATTCTATATACCATATATCAAAGTTTTTTTTTATATCATGATTAGACATGATATTCATATCTGAAAAAGTAAGCAAAGTTTCATACTTCAAACTATTTTTCATCTTAATCTAATGCTGTTTTAATGAAAATTCTGTGTTGGGAATTAAAAGAAGGTAAAAATTTGAATGAAGGGATATTTCTCCTCAAGAAAAATAATGATATCTGTTTGTAAGCATAATTAATTATAATTACTTTACTGCTCATTTTCAGAACAGGGAATAGAACAACGTTAATGACGTTACAACGAAACTAGTTTTACGTTAAACTAGAAAGTGCGTCTTACATATACTAAATGTTTACATGTAAAACCTATATAAAATGTAGATAAAATACTGTAGTTTGTTTTGCTTTGTTTATGTTTTAAAACTTACTCCATCGTTGTCTGTATTGAAATATTATTGAAACGTTAGACAGTGCATTAATTATTGAAAATAAAAATATATCACTTGTCTACGAACTTTATAAACAACCTCGTATGAGCACATGCGTGGCATAGAAATGCTTATTTTGATGAGACATGTACAAACAAAAATACAGAAGTGCAGTATGCCAGTATTCTCTTGTCAAAAAATATTTAAAATATTGTATTTCATTTTATGATAATCTTCAACATATACATGTAGTATTGAATGTCAGCATATTTTGTACCACGAAAGCAAAATATGTAGCATGCATTTATGCGAATATTAATCATGCAGTGAAATAACTATAAGCAATAGTTACAAAGTTGACTATAGAAATTCATCTTTGTACTGAATCATAATCCTCAAAATTTATGCAATTTAAAAAATCGATCTTCTAAAAGAATCACTTTTATCTGTTCACATAGAAAAATATATGTTATTTTTCGGGGGGGGGGGCTGTTTTTTTCAGTAACTGAGAAAACAATTTATCAAAAAAGATGTACGTGTATATTGAAAACAAATAAATTGATAAAGTCAGCTGCCATTTTATAACTCTAATGCAGCATCACAATGGCGTCGTTTTCTAAATATTACATTTTATTTTTCAGAGAGCGATGAAGACGACGAAGACGAGGAGGAAGAGGAAGAAGAAGAAGAGCCAGATGAATTTTATGAAAACTCCATTACAAAAATTACTGAGCAACCACTCACGGAACTCTAGAATTCACGTGACCGGAAGTTCAAATGCAATGCGCTGACATGTTATTAAAGGACCTCCGAAGATAGGAGATGCATTGAGAATTATTTTGTTGAATGTATGTTTAGGATGTATGTTCTTTTAAGTAGGAAAAAAATGATAATAGCCGTTTATATTTCTAGCAATTGTGTATATATTTGACTCTTAGCAATTTCCCATTTTGTAGGGGAAATTTTCCACTTAGAAAGAAATGTTGCTCATTTTAATACTTATGCTACACGTACAAGTATATTAAGGATTTAATTGAAACTCGGTTATTTTCTTGTTATTCATCGTATCAATTTTCTAGTCATGATCAAAAAGCTTTACGAGCAATTGAGAGTGTTATAACGCAATTTAATTATTATATTAATGCTGCGTTATGTGCTCTATATGTCATTAGTTATAAAAAGTGTGTTTTTCATTTTGAAACTATTATCATATGTATCACCTTGTGAATTTTGCGTTTTTTTCGCAAATAACTTGACAACGGTACTTGCTTTTTAAACATAACCTTACTTGAATTCATACACATTTTCGAATGAGGTTAATATTATTTAAGGTGAATTTAAGACCTTCTTCATCTCAAAAAAGATGTCATACCTACTACTCATACTTACATGCATGTAAAATCTGAATATGGATCGTATTAAGAAATCCTAATAGCAGATTGTCAATTTGTATATTAGTAATTATTAAATTTTGTTTCAAACTTAACATATTGTTTTAGCAAATATGGCTTTCAATAGTTCAACTTTAGGAAGGTTGGTAGGCGGTATCATGTGATATCATCATTGTAATGGTTATTTTGTCTCCTAACATTCAACCTTATCATACCTAGATAACTGATGTAGATATATTTATTTGGCTCAGCCATATTTGATTATATTAAGTTTAACAAACAGGTGAATTTTTCAACATTATAAGAATAACAAAAATTTAGTCTTAGTACAATTAATTTGATTAATTGTATGTTTGTTAGATTTTCTGTATAGCAATTCATGATTATTTGAACATGTCATTTAATTTTAATTTACCAAAGACAACCTTTTCTTCATTGATTTATATATAAAGGTCCCGATTCCCCAGCTACGAAACCTAGTTTTTATAATTTAAGAAATTGATTGTTCTCTTATAGATTAAGTGTATAATAAGTGTTAACTTTTAAGGTACATGTACTGAAGATTTTCCAATGTATACTTGCTGCCTATCCATTCAGAGTATGTAGTAGAACAGTTAACTCTGCACTGGTGCTAATTAATATGTCATTGTATGACTGAATGTCAAGTTTGTGTTGTTCTTTTTTATTTGTTTACCATTGAATTATTTGAAAGTACATGCCATAGTATGTTACGAGTGCTGACGTAAGGAAATAATCATAGTCTACTTTCTTGTTTTGGTTTTAAAGCTCTCCAGTCAGCTGGTTGAAAGATGCATGTGAAGAGTTTGCAAATGTAGCTGATGCGCAAGGGTTATTTCATATTTACAATGTTTTGTAGTAATATATTTTTATGCGTTTTTCGTATATATTTTTGTATGAGATATTATGCAAGAAATGCTTTTTTCTAATATCACTGTTCTCATTTCTCAATAAAACTTAACATTTTATAGATCAGCTCTTAGGGTGTTGATTATCTGCAAACTTATTGTGCAACATGGCCTTCTTGTCTCCAAGAAAGAATTCTAAATAAAATTCGCAGTCGTATGCATATTAAATGAATTGTTATAAAATAAAATCAACGCTGCAATATATTTAGGAAAAAATCACCTAATTAGGTGATAAACTTGTAATAATTTGTGTTCTGTTAACTAAATACTGGCGGATCTATTTCAAAGGGATGAACAATGAAACCTGGTCCAAAATTGTACTTTGCTGCATATTATTCCAAAAGAATATATAACTTAGTTATTTGAAAACGTCATGAGGTTTACGTCAGACAAACTTCCTTTTTATAACAAGAGTACTCTGCGTCAATAAGTTTATTGCTTTGACAGGAGTGCTTAATGTATAAACGAACAGGATATGACATGGAGTTCAAATGATAAAATCTAGGACGTTTTTGTCCACCCTGAAAGCAAACAAGACAGGGAAGTCAGTTAATTATGATGACTAAACATTTGTATACGTTTTGAAGCTTTTTAAATAATTCGTTCACATGGATAGATAAACATTTATTCCCAACAAAAAAAAGACAGACATACTTCGCTGTATATGCCTACCTTAACTGCACAAATTGTCGTTCACCTTGAATGATTGCTTAAGGGTTGATCGATGTTCTCTTTATGTACTGCAATTGTCACCGGCGACAAAATTTGTATCTTACCCTCGCAGAACATAATGTCACCTCAAAATTATAACTAGATAAAAAAAACTGCTGATTTATCAGTTCAATTTACAATTTTCAGTGTTTTGTCAAATTATGATAGTAAACACCAAACCAGAACGCATTTTATGACCATTTTTTTCTATGTGTTATTATTTGTTTAAATAAATATTCAAGTAAATATGTAAACCAGTAAATTAGCGACATTATGTGCAAAAGTTAACAATACACATTCTTGCAGACGACAATATGTATCAGTGTTTTACTGTTCATTTTGTAGTTCTTTCTACAGGAAGAAAGTAAAAAGGTCGAAAAGTGATGACCTCTGTTTTTTTTTCTGGTTTCGCTTTAAGTTTTTTAACTTTGTCCGGCGGCCTTTTTTTTCACTTTTTATATTTTTGACTTATTCTCAAGATCCACTGAAACTCGTTGAACCGAACTTACAAATTCAAAATATTGTTGAATAAAGGTTATTCAGGTTTGTTCAGATCTTTACTTCGTGTCGTAGTGTATCAAATTTTCACAATAAAAATCTACAGAGCAAATATTTAACATATTTAGCAAATAGCATTCTTGTAAAAAGACCTTTGGCAAGTCAAAAAAAAAAGATTAACCTTAAACACTATCTTCCTTAGGACAGCGTGGTCTAATACATCATGATTAGTTCCATTAATAATTATGCAAGCATCCATGTAGATTCAATGGTTTTCAAATGACAGTTCTCAGAAGGGTGACTGGGCCATAACAAAGGATCAAATATCTAAGGAAAATCTTCAGCTTGACTTGATCAACTTTTGTCCAACTCTCCGTCAGAATATGAATTATATTCATTAAATAATTAAGTTTTTGCTTTTACAGCCTATTAAATATTACAACCTCATATCCACGATAGTTTTCAGACACATCCGAACATGAAATTGAATTCAAAATACATGGAGATATTTTTTGAATATATATCGACGACGTATTCTCAATGAACAATGATTTTTTTTTCATTTTCATATCAATACTAAATATACTGGTAGCTTGAAATAAAGATACCGCAGAGTCTGACACATTCGTTTCATATTTCGATATTTTACTTGAAAAAGAGGTAAATGGTAATCTAACAACCAAGCTTTATGATAACCGTGATGAATTTAATTTGTCAATCGTTAACTTTCCTTACGTATGCAGCAATATAACTTCATCACCCGCATACGGGGTTTAAATATGTCTCAGCTGATTCGTACGCAAACGCATGCTCTACGTATAAACAATTCTAAAAGGAGGTAAATTATCGACAAACAAGTTGCTGAAACAAGAATATCAGTAGCCTCATTGAAAGTCATCATTTCGTTCGATGGTCGATAAAATGACTTGTCAGGAAATACTATTTGTTATTAAGCTAATGCTGACTGGCGTTTTACATACTTATTGAAAGGCCATCATATATAGACTGAATTGTCGACGGATATTTCCTTTTGTGCCGATCATGTCAAGGAGCATGCGGTAGGTGTGATTCGTTGGCAGGAGATGCTCATTCCTCCAATTCAACTTACAATTTTCAGTGTTTTGTCAAATCATGATAGTAAACACCAAACCTTAAGCATTTTATGACCATTTTTTCTCTGTGTTATTATTTGTTTAATTAAATATTGAAGCTGACAGAGACTTCTTCAGCTGGTTGTGTGTCTTCCTGTTTCCTATTTTCTCTTTATCTGTGCGATTGTTTGTGAGTGCGGCAATCTCTCTTTCTCGCCTCTCTTCAAGACCCAAGTAAATATGTAAACCAATAAATTAGCGACATTATGTGCAAACGTTAACAATACACATTCTTGCAGACGACAATATGTATCAGTGTTTTACTGTTCATTTTGTAGTTCTTTCTACAGAAAGAAAGAAAATAAGGTCGAAAAAGTGATGACCTGTTTTTTCTGGTTTCGCTTTCAGCTATTTAAGATTGTCAGGTGGCAGGCGGCCTTCTGTACACTTTTTATATTTTTGACTTATTCTCAAGATCCACTTAAACTGAACTTACTTCAAAGTATTGTTGAATAAAGGTTATTCAGGTTTGTTTAAATCTTGACCTCCTGTCGTGTGTCAAATTTTCACTACAAAAATCTATAGTGCAAATATTAAATAACATTCTTGTAAAAAGACCATTGGCAAGACAAAAAAAAATAACCCTAAAAACTATCTCCCCTAGGACGGATAGGTGAAATACATCATGATTAGTTCCATTAATAATTATGCAAGCATCCATGTAGATTCAATGGTTTTCAAATGACAGTTCTCAGAAAGGTGACTGGGCTATAACAAAGGATCAAATATCTAAGGAAAATCTTCAGCTTGACTTGGTCAACTATTGTCCAATTCTCCATCAGAAGATACATTATATTCATTAGCTAATTAGGTTTTTGCTTTTACAGCCTATTAAATATTACAACCTCATATTGCATATCCACGATAGTTTTAAGACATATCCGAACATGAAATTGAATTCAAAATATATGGAGATACTTTTTGAATATATATCGACGACGTATTCTCAATGAACAATGATTTTTTTTCATTTTTATGTCAATACTAAATATACTCATGAGCTTGAAATAAAGATACCACAGAGTCTAACACATCTGTTTCATATTTCGATATTTTACCTGAAAAAGAGGTAAATGGTAATCTAACAACCAGACTTTATGATAAACGTAATGACTTTAACTTGTCAATCATAAACTTCCCTTATTTATGCAGCAATATAACTTCATCACCCGCATACGTGGTTTAAATATCTCTCAGTTGATTCGTACGCAAACGCATGCTCTACGTATAAACAATTTCTAAAAGGAGGTAAATTATTGACAAACAAGTTGATGAAACAAGAATATCAGCAGCCTCGTTGAAAGTCATCATTTCGTTCGATGGTCGATAAAATGACTTGTCAGGAAATACTATTCATTATTAAGCTAATGCTGACTGGCGTCTTTCATACTTATTGAAAGGCCATCATATATAGACTGAATTGTCGACGGATATTCCCTTTTTTCCGATCATGACAAGGAGCATGCGGTAGGTGTGATTGGTTGGCAGGGGATGCTCATTCCTCCATGGCACCTGATCCCAACTCTGATGTTTTGGAGGTCTCCTTGTTTGTCCTGCTCTTATTTTGTATTGTTTAATGGACTTCTGAGCTTGAATACTATCTGTTATGTCAATATATTTTATAAAATCAGTATAACTAACTTAGTCTGATTGTCCGTGAGACGATATATTAAATACTTATGTTTCCCAATTCATATGTTTTAAGAAAATTTTAATCCAGAATTTTAATTCCATTATAATTCAAATTCCGAAATTCGAACAAATGTCTGTATGATTGATAAAATATAAATCCCAAATGATATTTCAGAATGATTTGAAAATGATGCAAAGGAGTTTTGGTGGACCAGTATATACGCACTTCAATGTTTAAATGCTTCAGCATTGTTTTACCATGCATATACAAAGTTAGACTGAAATATGAAGAAAACGAAACGAAATCAACCTCATAAGTCCATTCAATCATGAAAATTAGAAGCAGATCATACACTGAACTTCAAAACCTCAGAGGTGGGACCATGTGCCATGAAGGTGTGAGCTTCCTCTGCAGATCCTTCACCCCGCCGTGTGCTCCTTGGTCTAATCAAAAAAAAAAAAAAAGAAGAGAAAAACGTAGACAATTCAGCATGTAATAATGGCCTATCAAATGTTATTTATCAATACTTAATACATAATATAAAACAATCGTTTTTCTCGCCATTTTCTTGAGGTTAATATCTTGAAACGAACAGACATTTTTAGAAAATTTCATTTTTTTTAAGAAAGACAAAAGCAGCTTAAACACAGAGTATATTTTGAATTTGTTACTAATTAAAACGTTTTCAAACATTCATAGCCTTCAATTTGCAAAATAATTTTTTGGAGATCACAGAACACTCTTTTCGAAATGCCTGGCTAGTAAAGCTATAAATTAGTGGATTGATTGCACTAGATAGAAGATAAGATCGTAGGAAAAGATGGTAAAAGTTTTTCTGTAAGTCATTTTGTGTGTTGTAAAATCCCTCGTTTGTGTATCGTATCACAACTATGACGCAATATGGTACGAACGTTAAAACGTATGCTAGGGTCACAACGAACAACATGAAAGTAGTTCTCCCGGTATGATACGTACGACCGTACCGACAGACTTCACTCGGTAAAGTTTGCGAAGATACAAAGGAGGCTTGTCGTGATAAATGTTTTCCTTTTAATAGGGTGCTTCTTGGTGATTTTTTACCATCAACATGGAGAGTGTTGCATTCGGGCAAGCTGGCTGATCTTTTTCGCTGTTCTTGAGCGATTGTGAAGTTTTGCAACTCACTAATTCTAGAGAGAGCTCGGCAAGAATTGTCAGGTTTTAATCCATTTACTTTAGCTGGCAAGGAATCCACTGATCTGTTCATATTGTATTTATACTTCATAGTGTTGTATGACTTGTCACTTGAAAAACTCTCCTGCCTCACAAGTCTTGCACTGAACTTGGTTCCTTTCCCAGCATTTAAAGGAATACTATCCTCGTCTATATTTGTTGTACTAGAATATGAACAAAGACTTGGTCTTCGTTTGAAGGTCACCACTGTACTCCAACTTCTTTTCGGACTAAGACTACCGAACTGTCGTCGTCTATATATTTTTATTCCTATCAAAGAATATAATACTATAAATAATATATCGACAATCACGTTAGAACCCAATAAATACATTCCATATACGAATGGATATACACTATATTCGCTGTCATGGAAATCATCATCAATGAGGCAAGTCTTCAGGGAGTACTTTTGCGATTTGATCGTTTGTGTTCCGTAGAGAAGAATACTAGGCCAACATGTGACTGTCGCTAGAATCACTGAAAGCACAACTACGAATTTGGCTCTGGAAACACTAAATGGTTTAGTTTTAAATGAACACCAAATTCCAATAAATCTGTCAATCGCAATCCCAACGAGAACAACAGACGAGGCAGCATTCATGAAGAAAGTCACAAATCTGGATGATTTACACAGAAATGGCGAATCAAATGACATGTAATTGGTAAGGAGATAAATCTCAGTGGGTAATGATACGATATTGTTCAGTAAATCAAACCAGGCAAGGGCTAGGACAAACAAAGTGGATGGTTTTCGTCTTCGGCGCCATTTTGTGGTGTACACGTGACATACTAAGCAGTTTCCGGGAACTCCTATCAGAATAAGCACGATCACGTAAACTAAAGAAGGAATAAGATAGCGACTCAAAATATCTGCCGAGATTTGTCTCCGATATTCCTCTTCAAGCAGTGATGTTTCATTCGACGAGGAGTTCTCCATTACAACAATTTAGCAATTATATTCTGCACATCTGCTGGCCATTATACCTGAAACGATGAAAAATTTTCAAATTATTTGGTAAATTTTTCAATTGTAGAATTCATGATCGTTTAGAGAACCGCAAGATTCAACAAACAATATGTGAAAAGGCAATTTATGAAAGTGACACAAACACACTCCCCTCCAGTGATTATCGGCAAAAAATGGTTTTTTAAACATCATGTTTTTCATTCATACAGCGATATATCAATTATTTTTAATCAATCACTTTTCGATTGCCTTTGGCATTTCACCTTCTGTACTGAGAGTCAATATCAATTAATAGTATTTCGAGCAATCCCTACAAAATACAAGAGGGAATTAATCACTAAATGTTGGCTATTGATTTCGTATCCATATGTATTATTCTGTCTGAAACCAATTTTCTGAACAAGATTAACATTAAATAAAATCATACCAGTGACAAATCGCTGAGGTATCAATGCCAACCCTCCTACAGAACACAGCTGACCATATATCAACTTATACAATGGTTGGTACTGGGGGTTTAGGACATGTGGTTTACTAAGGTCGTTCATCGATATTTAAATTCTGTGACCTTGACATTTAATCGGATAAAATATCCTCAGACCATTAGTTTAATAGGTTACCAGCTAAGCGTGGCCTTTGTTAAAACCTAAAATCAAAAGTGAATTCCTTTAATCCCAAATTCGGGGATTATTAAACGGCTGAAGATAAAGGTTTGATTTTATTTAACATGAATACAAATATATTCCTATCAAACATAGAAAATAAAATTATACAATCGATGATTAAAATACTGTTGGTTTATGGAGACTGTGTACATTATCACCAAAGTACATTCTAGATGAAATAAATAAAATTAACTAATGTTTGAACATGTACGATGTTCATGCCTTTCATTTTGACAATTTGGGGGGAAAATTGTACATATAAAATGTACTGAAAAAAATGAAAATGAATTTAACCAACTTTTTTGTAGTATAGTTTTACTTTTCTTAACTTCCATCTTATATGAATAACTTATACACATGTAGCTTTGACGTCTCAAAATTAAAAAAATATATATGATTGTATGGATTACCATCTCCTCAGTATGATATCTTCACAGATCTTAATTAACAGATCTTCAGTGTTTAAAATAATAAATTTAGAATAATATGGTCAAAAATATATCTTCAATGCTAAAGATTAATTTTATACAACAGAAAATAAATATTTCAGAAAACGTTTTCACAGAATTCTGAAAAAAATTCCCTTCATTTCTTTTATGTGGGTATTTGAAATAACAAAATATTGACTCTTTTAAAAAGGAGCAAAAATTTAACTCTGCATAAACTCCAACCTGATTAAAATCATATCCTTTCATCCGCTCGTATAGTTAGCATTCTGTATGTGCGGATCAAAAGATCTGGTTTAAATCGGATTACCATTTTTATAAGATCTGAGTTATTCTTTGAGTGATTTATGAGTTCAGCACCTGATATTTCATTATAATTTGTCACTTTACTAATTCAAAACAAAAGTTGTAAAACTTACATTGAACAGTGTAAATTCGTAAGTCTTAATCATGTTAACGATACAAAAAAAAAAACTTAGAAAAAAATCACTATATATTCCATCCATATCAAGAAGCAATAAAACAAGAACATTTTAATTTTCATCTGCACATAAAGAAGCTATATTTTTTATATCACGAGCTTTACAAAATTTAATATAGTTGTTGAAAATTCCATACAAAAATACACCGAAACGAACCCAATTGAGGAGGCAAATAAATCATCAAATGGAGGATTCTATATATCTTATTTTAATCTTAAATATAAAGGTCCATCTTTTCTGTATAGAAATACTTTGAAAAACAAAGAAATAACCGCCTGAAAGACAAATTATACAAACTATTTTGAAAGAAATCCTGGATATAAGAATGGAAGATATGAAAAACTATAGATACTGTGAGCAATGAGCTAACCCCGCCTCCATTATGATTATAATTACTAAGTCCATGTTTTGCTCTTGGAGACCTTTAAAAATAAGTGTCTGCTCAAAAAGTAAAATAGGAGGTGCAAATGACACTGTGTAATAAAGAATCTGTGAAAATTATCGTTACGTTTTATCCAGAACTTAATTATCATTAAATGGCTTAATGTGTTAAGTTTAGAGAAAGGACTTTTTTCGAAAAACATCGCTACAGTCAGCCCATGATCTGAGCTCAATAAAATTATACCCTTCGCCTCCCATATGGTTATAATGGCAAAGTCCATGTTTTGCTCTGGGAGACCAGAAATAAGTGTCAGATCTATAAATAAAATAGGAGTTGCATAATGGCGTTGTGTAATAACGTATTTGTGAAAGTATCATGAAATTTTACTCAGTGCTATAGGAGCAGTTGCGGGTAAGAGATGGGAACACTTCAGTTTTAAAGAAAGAATGAACCTGTCCATGTTTTGCTCTGAGAAATCCATAATTTGTGTCGGAACAAAGAGAAAAAAATAGGACGTGCACAATGGCACTATGTAAAAAAGATAATGCGAAAGAGTAATAAAAGAGGAGTTGATGATAAGAGATGTGTACCCCAAAGGTAACAGACGAACGGGAGGACGGATGGATATACAGACAGACGGACATCCCGATCATTATATACCCTCCCACTTTTCAAGGGTGGGGGTATAAAACCATCTGAAAGTGTTTCAACATTATACAATTATTTGATTCACAACATTTTTATTTAGACCCATCATTTTTTGTTATAACTTTGAAAGGAGGTACAAACATTTTTATACAGACCGATCATTTTTTTTATAACTTTGAAAGAAGATACAAAACAAGATAACATATAAAAGGCAATTGAAAATCTTTTTCATTATTTTGTAGTTGACAAGGTATATTCATTTCAAAAAAAAATTTGATAACTTACATACCTATATATCAATATTGTCCAATATCTTGTCCAGTTAAGATGAGAACACAGCATGCGGTGCATATGTAAGAAATTAAATCCAGTGATCACCAAAGCCTTATTCATACATTTTATTAGCATTGAGTCATATGTTAGTAAAGAAAATCGAAGGCTTTCTTGTAAGAGGTCTTCAAACGGTGACTTTTCCATCGATTTAGTCTGATAATTCTGAAAGAACTTTATTTGTCGCTAGGCATTTGACGAGTCCATATCACTTAATTTGCTAATTACAGAAAAAAAGAGATCCTAAGCTACTCTAAACGCGCTTCTTTGTGTTGCAGATTGATTTCTGATATTAGATATGCATGAACTTTGCGAATAATGAACTTTTCAAAGACCATATCATCTCTATGGGATGGGATTTGAAATAATCGCATGAAATGCTTAAATAACCATTATTTGCCTTCTGTAGATAACAATTTCTAGCACAACATTAGAATCTAATTAAATAGATATGTTGCTTTATAAATTTTTTCTTTTCTTTTCTTTTGTATCCAAAACAAACGTTAGAATTAATATATGTTTGAAAATGTTTAAAAAGTCTCTATTAAGTCAAACTTAAATTTAGAATATAGATAAGTTTTAAATTTATTTCTTTTAGTATTTTTAAGACAAATTGTTTCTTCTATAGTATCATAATCAGCATAGTAATAGGTATTGACTAATATAAAGAACAGCTGATATAAATATATATGTAGATTTTTATGGTCATAGACAAAATATAAAAATCTATGTTGACAGTTGGTATAAAATTTTATTTAATTTTAGATTACTCTCTTGTATCCATATTTTAGTCAAATGATAATATTCTATACATTGATAATTAACAAACAAACAAACAAAACACGCCAATCGATTGACTTAAAAACCATTTCTCTATAACAAAATCTATTTTTTATTGGTAATACATGTAAAAACCAAATCACAATTTAAATTCAGGACAGGATAAAGCATTAACCCACCTACACACCCACCCCACCCCCCAAAACAAATTTTGCAAAAGATGAAGATGACCAACATTGATCGTTCGATCTTAAAAAAAGTATATAGAAATAATACAAATATGTAAAGAGAATATAAATCACTGATTTCTGGAAATTCCACAGACAGTGCCTAGGAGGAGTAAGCTCCCCTTTTAACCGGTCACTCCCGCCGCGAGCCCTATGTTTTGATTCGGTAGACAGAAGTTTCTGTAGTCAAATGAAGTACAAAAACAAAGACCTAAGAATTAAAATTTAACAAGTCCGCCGAAATACGACTCATTGAAAGGCTTTGTTTGTTAACAAGTACATTATACCGACCATAGAATAACGAAATACCGCCTTTATACAACGTTGTTAGAAACCCTGTAACATCAACTTATCAGTGAGTAGCATGCCTCGCTTTAAAATTTATCGTACTCAGAGCAGGTATCAGTGGAATATTACTGCAAAAATAAAGAAGGTTGATATATAAAATCTTTAAACTAAAGCCATCTCGTTAACGATTTAGTTATTAATTTAAGAATGAGGAAACATTTGGACACACTTTTAAAAGAAAATTAAACATTCGTTTATTCATTTTTATTAGAAAATAAATGTTTTCAGTCTAAAGGGTCTGGCATCCTTATATCAAAATTGGTAAAAATATATTGATAACTAAGGATGTCGTTTATTACCTCCGAGATTTTTACACAGAATGTCTAAATTTATTACACATCAAATAACTCATCAAGAATATTGCGCTTTTACTTCAAAATTTGCTTCTGCGTATGACGAAAATAAGCGTGGGAAATAAACGAGGGTTACGCGTGATAGTGTTGTCTGTATCAATATCATGTGATCATTACGTGAGAGTTCGAAAAGATTTATATTTTTAAGTGGATTTTCTTTGATTTAATGGATGATTCTGTTATATAATTGTCTGAGATAATACTCGCTCTTAAGAAATATACGATGTTCATTATGGAAGTCATTTGATGTAGATATTTTTCTCTGGATTTGAAACGAGAACATAATAATTACTACAATAAAACAAATCTACTTTATACAGCCAATGGATTGTCGATAATTTATATTCATGAATGTGTTACCAATGCCATACTAGTATTTAATTTAAGAAAAAGCAACATAATACATTCGAAAGAATAATTTTTGGAATTCAGTTAAGATATTTCTAGTACTTTCACATGTATATTAAGTAGATGATTCAATGTTTCTTCTAATATATTTATGTTTGGTTTAACATTACATTTTTAACAATTCGAGTACTTTCCTTCTGTATTAAGGTTTTAAAATTGACTTAAATTAAGAGAGAGAGAGAGAGAAACATTACATTTTTCACAATTTGAGTAGTTTCCTTCTGCATTAAGGTTTAAAATTGACTTAATGAAGAGAGAGAGAGAGACTTACCATGTTAAATAACTATCATTCACGTATTCCCATAACAATGAACTTTTAATCTATCCAAAGGCACTAGTATTTTCAAATTTATATGATTCAATTTTTTGTTTGATTTGACGACCGAGTCTAATAGCACTGATAGTATTCGGTTGTAGAGGTCCTTATGTATTATGTTAACGTGGAGGTTACAATCAATATTAAGTACTGTATTCTCCACACGGAGGAGTCTGCTGCAGTACTGTGCGGGTTGTCAAAAAAGGAGGATGAATCATCTCAACAATTTCCGTATATAGCCAAACAAAATGTTGCATCCCCGAA